GATAGATAGATAGATAGATAGATAGATAGATAGATAGATAGATAGATGATAGATAGAGATTGATAGATAATGATTGATAGATGATGATGATACATAGATGATAGATATAAACAAACATGAACAAGAAAGAATGAAAATAGGTTTTGCATCAATAATAAAATATGAATATTATCCCAATTGTTTGTACTACAAAACAGTATGTAAAATATAGGATTAGATATCTCATGGGTTTTTCCCCCTTCATTTTCCAGATACAACATTCAGTGTCATACTGCTGAGTCTGCAAATGATATTCTGGTCCCATCTTTTGATGAAAAGAGAAAGCACTGTGTTTTCCAGGGTGATCTTTTGTTGTTCAGCTGTGCAGGGTCTCATCTAAACCATAAAAGGATCTGCCCTTGTAGAGACTATCTTAAAGGACAAGTTGCACTATGTAAAGACTGCCTATAGCAGGAATTTAATGTGACTTTTCAAAGTGGCTTGGAGAGAGCCACACTGTGCACTTTGCTACTGCAGACAAAACAGTCGTCGAAGAGCAGAAATCTATCCTGAGAAAGGGCAGATAAGTGATTTAAATGTTTAGGAAAGTAAACCTCAATTTTTATGTTTTCGTTTTTCAAAGTGAGCTACTTCCAGACACAAAAATCTCTTTATTCAAAGACATGACAAATCAACGTCCCGACAAGAGCTTGAGATAATGTTGGGGCTTCTTCCGCAGTGACTCCTCAAGATGGACAGTTTGTCAGACATCACTGAACAAAATATCAACCTGAAAGGATTGGATGGTGCAGAAACGTCTTCAGACTTGCCATAGGTAGGCAAAATGGTGGTGCTGTTCCCGTCGACAAGGCCAGGCAGCTGCTGAATAACAACACCGTGGTCTCGGTCACTTCCTGGCCTATCCCAGTCTCAGTGGACTTTCCCCAGCATCGCTGTTTGAGACTGCCATTTAAGGAAACCCTCCAAAATAGGACTGGTAGCTGACAGACTGACCTTTAGGATCCTTTAGGCTTGATGATGGATTATGATTGTGGCGTTAATCAGAGTTTGAATAGCCACATAAACACCCAATCTGTTTTTTGTTTTGTTTTGTTTTGTTTAAAAAAACCAACAACACTTGCTTTCAACTCTGTATTCTCTTTCTGACTTGTCCAAAGGTTTTGCTTAGGGGTGTTAGGAATACTGTGTAATCATTGGAGATAAAATAGTTTCACTGGAGCAATATTTTATTTCTTGAATTTGCTGTAAGATAGCAAAACAGTGTCTAAAATAATGAAAACAGGTGGAAGAGTGGTCTGCCCCAGTATCTTGTAAGGATTTAAAGAGTAATTATGGTCTACAAATAATGGTCATGAAAAGGGGGCTTTATTTTATGCAGCCCTTGTTAAAAAAAATGGATATGTAGAAATAGGCCATTTATTTTTTAAATTGCAATTAATCCAGAATATTGAATATTGAATTTAAAACATTGTTTGTAGTCAGGATATAAGCTGTTTCTTTTTTTAAAAAATGCACAGTATCTTTTTTAATTGGTTTTTTTTTTAGCACAACTGACACATGTTTAAATGCACTGTTCACGGGTAGGAAAAATAGCATTGAATTGAAAATGAATGTGTTGTCCATTTTTGTTCAGCTAGGTTCGGGTGTGGATAGGGAACAGAAGAGACACTCTTGGGCCATTTGCAAAATCAAAACTGTTATTTCCCTTCTTTGTAAACATTAATTGCTATTTCTACTGATAGAACAATATGCCTGCTTTTAATCTTTTATAATCTATCAACTCTTTACTTGATGCATTATTTCATATCTAAAGGTCATTGCCTATCTCTTCACTTGCAGAAGACAAGAAACATTTTTGAAGAAATTGCCAAGTTGAAGTTTTAAAGTTGATTTTTTTTTTAAAAAAAAAAAATCTGGTTAAAATAAGTTGAAATCTGTGTCAGCATAGTATTTACGGAAGCCAGTTATTTATGTTAAGGGACATATTGCCAGATCTGAATAAATTTTGAATAAGAAAAATGATATTAAAAAAATTGTTTACATTGTATATTCAGAAACACTCACTTTGTAACAAGAAATATATTACCTAAATTGAAACATGTTATGAGTAGAATTAAAAGTTACTAAGGATTAAACCTCGAAATTAGGATTCAGTGAATTGAATGTCAGATTGTAAACATTTCTTTCTTGGTTCTGCAGAATGTAACTCTTGGGATCTAAGCATGTGTATTTTTTAAGTTATCAAACCTAGATAATTTCTAAGGCCAAGAATTATATATATGTATATCATGAGTTCACCTGAACCCACAGACTTAGCACTTCTAATTGCTGTAGCAGCTAAAAGAATTTGATATTTGTGTTGTAAATACAACTTTGTTAATGTCTTCAAATTAATTTATCCTGCATAATGGTGGACTGCTTTAAGTCCAGTATTTCTTTTCCAGAAAAGCTAACAATAAAGCACGAATCTAAAAAATCCAGGCAAATTTTGTAGGAAAGAATGGAAATTATCAGAAACCAGATCTGCTTGGAATCTTTCCTTCAACATTACTGTGGATTTTATATTCTCGTGCTAAATTGTGAACTTGCACCTGTGTGTGTTTGTATTCATAAATTGCTTCAGAGAGAGTAATAATATATTAACATCCAAACAAACCCTAAAACCTAGAATGAGTTGTTGGTTGGTCAAATCAATAATTATAGACCTTCATTCAGAGGTAGATTTGTTAATTGATAGTCTTGTAGTTCAGCATAGATATATACATTTGTTGAGAAAGAAAGAAAAATGGTTGCAAGGTAAAAAGTGAAGAGTTTTTGGAAAAGTAGAATTGTTACAGTTCTTATATTTTTGCAGTACTTGTATGATGTCATTGAGAGTAGGGTCAGATCTTCAATAGGTTCATTATTTCATAGTTTATTGAAGTTTTTTATGACAGTAAAATGGTGTTGATCCTTGAAGGAAAATTGTATATTGGGCCTTTCGGTTGGAATTCCATATTTATTTACACTGTCCCGATTTGGTGGAGCAAAAATTTTAAGGCAAATAACATTTTTGTCAGTTCAGGTTAGATTGACCTGACACTTTTTCCATGAAAAATGTCTATTAAAATGTAGATATTAACAAGTCCAGTTCCATTGAGCACTGTTATATAAGCTGAATATTAAATGGTTTGTTCAAGATGTCATTAAAAATTACACAGATTTATAGGTGTTAAATTCCTTCTTTTTTCTTAAAATAGAAAATATAGAACCAACAGAAGGAATGTTGGATGGAAGAAAAGCAGAATGACAACAATTACATCATGCAAATTTAGGGCTAGATTGTTAGAAATAAACATGGGTGAATGAATTGGATATGGATCAAAAAACAAAAATTATGAAAAGATTAACCCTAACCTATAAATCTTCATGTGTCAAGAACATTGTCTTTATTTTATAAATTTGTTCAAACTGATATTTTTTAAATCTTATGAGATTTCCAAAACCTGAGATAAAGCATTTGCATAATTTATTTTAAAAATAACATTAAGTTTGCCTTTGAAAAGAATGAATACACTGTTTAAAAATGCCAATAAAAACCTCATTTATTTCATATACTCAAGTTGATTTGTACATCTATCTACAGCTCTACCTCCAATATATTTTAAATTCTAATATGTAATTCATCAATACACTTTATAGTTGTGGGTCGTTGTGTTTGATTTTTCCATGGTGGTATGTAATATTGGTGCCTTTATTTTTTATAAATTGAATTTCCAAATAATGGCTAATTGAAACATGAATAATAGAACTAGAGGAATAATAGATATAAAAACTATTCATCTGGGTTTCAAAGGGGGTTTTCTAGAAGAAAAGAAAGAATATTTTACACCCAGCACCAAAAATATATTGCTTATTGATATATGTGCTTGAAGGGATCTCAGCATAATGAATTTTTCAACGCACTATTTGTACCACATGTTAGAAAACAGAGAGAAGCAAAAGATATCTAGATGATTTTCTGTAGGCTTCGATGGGAATTATGTTAAAAGTTTTAAGTGGGAAATAAAAGATGACCAGTATCAGTCAATGCCAAATATTAAATGGTAAGGAATCATGAACTGCATTTAAATGAAGAGCTATACATGCACCCCCACAATACATGCTTTGTGTTCTCAATTGAGTAGTTGTTTTAAACACCGGGAATTCAGGAGAAAGCATAGGTGTTATTAGATGCTGATGGTACATTTCGATTTCATTGTTCTGTGCTATTGTAATAGTTTTGTGCTCGATAATAGAGTTGGAATGAAACCAACCCCTCTGATCAGGCAAGAAACCCATTTCAGACAAAAGATTTTCCAACCTTTTCCTTAAAACCTCCAGTATTGGACCACTCACCACAGAGTGTGCTTTACAAAAGGAAAAAGAAACGACCACCCCAAATCTGAGCAACCTTTGGGATTCCAGTTTCATTTGTTTTGTTTCAGTGACGTTAGCATGGAAAATGTGTTAAGGAAATTTATATTGCCGCCTATTCGCACATGGCGACTCAAGGTGACTTACAAGAATGTAAAAATCTCATATTAAAAAAATAGAATCATATAAATTCATAAAATATAATACAATAACCCCCACCCCCACCCCAGTGACAACACATCACAGGAGCCATTTAATGGGCTCCATCCCACTCTGCATTCCCCAGGCCCACTGGCAGAACGGGGTCTTCAGCACCTTCCAAAAGAGTGTTAGAATGGGGACTATTCTAATCTCTGGGGGTATGATATTCCCCCTTGGAGAAGGCCCTTCTTCTCGGTCACACCAGGTATATCTCCCTAGGGGTTGGTACCCACAACATTCCTTGCCTCCCTTCTCTGGTGGATTGAGTAGATGTGACCGGCAAGAGACGGTCCCTCAGATAATCTGGTCCCAAGCCATGAAGGGCTTTAAAGGTGACAACCAGCACCTTGAATTGCACTCGGAAGCAAATTGGCAACCAATGCAGCTCCCGCAGGAGAGAGGATACATGTGCACACCCAGGTCTGCAGAAAACCATGTGGATCGCTGCATTTTGCATCAACTAGAGCTTCCAGATGCTCTTCAAGAGCAGCCCCATGTAGAGTTGTTGCAATAGTCAAGATGGGAAGTGACTAAGTCACAATCCCTGGTCAGCCTTACTTAAAGGATCATTTAAAGTAGGACAACCTACTTGATAACTCCAAATTATTTCCCGATTCCTCATGGGTGAGAGACAGTATAATTCCTAAGTGCCATCTATTGTTACCAGTTCTTAAATCCAGTCAACATTGTTGTAACTGCAAAATAGGAAAGGACTCCAGTTGTACTTAACACTGAATACACTATGGAAAATGTGTCACATTAGCTATAAAATGGGTATCTTTTCCTTCATGTATTTAACCACCAATACTCTGGGTGAGTATAAGACGACCTGAAAGTGAATCATTTCTTCACAAACTACCGTGTTTGCATCCAAATGTGGACTTCAGAAATTTCTGGAATGCATGCAACCTTTAAGCAAAATCGTCCATCCGCATGTAGGTAGGTAGGTAGGAAGGAAGGAATGTTGTCTTATGCTGTTGGTCTGTTTAACCCAGAATAGTTGGCATTATTGGTTCTGGGCAGGCATGTTTACTAACCCCGCCTGGATTTTGAACTGAAAATTTACATTGCATTTACATTTCTTATTACAGGGCACAGATTTTCTAATGCAGAGACTGTAAAATACTTCTTTAAAGTTATGCTTGGCTCCAAGTGTAATTTATGTTGCTAATAGTTTTGTCATTGCTCAGTTGGAGACCAAGCTTAAAGTCCACGAGTTTCATAGTGTAGCACTGATGTACGCGTAGTCCTCGACTTATGACCACAATTGAGCCCAGAATTTATGTTGCTAAATTTGTTAATTTTGGCCCATTTTACAACTTTTCTTGCCACATTTGTTAAGTGAATCACGGCAGTTGTTAAAATTAGTAACACGGTTGTTCAGTGAATTTGGCTTCCCCACTGACTTTGCTCCTCAGAAAGTCGCAAAGGATGGTCACGTGACCCCAGGACATTGCAACAGTCATAAATATGAATCAATTGTTTCATAGGATAACAGAGCTGGATGGGACCTTGAAGGTCATCTAGTCTAACCCCCTGCTGGAGCAGGAGAGTCTATTCCAAATATTAGCCTCTACCTAGGATCGAACTCACAGCCCCCTGATTGTGAGGCGAGAGTTCCACCTCTAGGCCACTGGAGCTGTTTTTGGCTTCCAAAAGCCAAAAAGTTGTCACGCATCCAAATGTAATCATGGGGATGCTGCAATGGTCATTACGTGAAAAATGGTCATGTCACTTTTTTCAGTACTGTTGTAACTTTGAAGGGTCACTAAATGAACTGTTATAAGTTGAGGATTACCTGTAGTGTGCTCTTTTCTCAATAATTTAGGACTTCTAAATACCAGTACTATAAACCTTGATTTGATAATGATTGCTAGTATTGATCGTTCTTCGTATTTAACCCGGAAACATTAGAAAAGCAAGAATGCTCAAATAACAAATTGCAGTTCCGTTAGCGAAACAATATATCAAGTGAACTGAGCATAAATACGCTAATCCAGAAATGTAGAATAGAATATGCCACAGAAACACAAATGTACAGGAACTGAGGATATAAAGTTGTTAAGTTTGTGTATCCAGGCAGTAAAGAAACCATTTTCATAGGAAAACCAAATTGCCCAATATTTTCATTGAAGACAGCAAATAATTGCTTGCACCCGGAGCTAAATGTCTCCTTGTATCCTTTTCCATATCGACTTTTGTCATAGTGTCTTTTGTTCTTGGTTTTGTAGTTTGTTCAACTCTGACATGTAAAAACACTTCTAATAATTCATAATATAAAAAAACCATGTGCTACAGAACTTCTCTATAGCTTGTTTGCCAGAGGCCCATTCTGTTTAAAAATCGGTTACGGCTCCCACTCGTCTGGAGAATTGAGATCGCAGACTGCAGGGGAAAGAATCTGTTGTCATACTTTTTCATTTAAGAATTTTGTTAATGGGATGACATAGTGCAGTTCATTCATTCCATCTTCTGAGCTCATTTCCATTACTCTATTAACATTCAATTCCCACCCTCCTGCACAGGAAAGGTCTCATAATTGTGCTTTAAAGTAGCTTTATCCTGTTTTTCAGGTAATAATTTATTAAACTTGCATGCTGCAGGACCCTCAACAACTGTGGGTGACTCTATCAAATAAATTACAATGAAAATCAATAAGAGAACTATAAAAATTGTAGGTGCAATGAAGTGAGAATTGGATGAAACATTTTGGAAGAACCAAGCAATGTAAATAATCTGTATAAATTGAAGAGGAGGATCCAGTTTATTTTTGCTTGATTCTTCTATGTAACCATGTTCAAAACAGGAATCATAAATTCTAAGAATTCTAACATTAACGTTTATCACAGCAATTTTTTTTGGGGGGGGGGGGTTTGCACCGAAAGAATGAGTTGGTAATTATATGTTATGTATTTGATCAGATTGTGTGAGTTGCTAGTGCCATCTATCCAATATTATTTACACTTCCTCGAACTTAAATATTAAAATAGAAAGGAGCTCTAATAAATGAAGATTATTCTTCAAAGAAAAAAACCTAATGAAAGTAAAGCTCTTTATGTGAATGTAAGAATTCCATTTTCAAAATATACATTCCTTGATTTTCCCCATGTCTAACTTAAGCAGGTGCAAATTCCCACATCTGCCTATTCTTGCTAATCACTTGTCTGCATAATACCTCAACAAATCCAGCTGCAGTGTGAGAAAGCACCCAAAAATAGTCTCTGCAGGCATTAAATACATAGATTTCCCTCATTGTGAAACCCATGATGGAAATAAGGTAGACAGGCTACTGGGTAATTACTTTCACCATGCTGTTCAGCTAAGAACTGGGTACATTTTAACTGGGTAAAAGCACTTTTTTAAAAATGTAAGTATTTGGATTAATTTGCAAATTGTGTCCTGCTCAGTTTTGTTCCAGAAAATTGTTTCCTGAAAAATATACAGGTTTGATCACAAGAATTTTTTTAAAGTGAACTTGTAGGAAGCATCTTATCATTAGGAAGCATCTTATTTTTCAATAGTGTAATTAACTTTTTTCTATCTGTTCTATTCACCACTTAAAAGTTGCAAGAAATTATTTACACTTGGACCCCCACGATGTTATCATCATCATGTAAGTCTACATTTAAATGTAACGATACACTGAATAACTTTAATTTTCTCAAAAGGGCATCATGGGAATGTATGAATTGTAACAGATCTAATTCTATTGTGACTCACCTTTCCCTGCTCACTGTGAGAGATAAATGCTTGTTGCACACTTGAGAAAACCGAGATGATAAATTTTTGTATTTATATGCAAATAGGAATATATGTTGCTTGCCTATTCAGTCCAATTGTTTCCAACCTATTCATATGGATACGGCAATTGTGGATGTCAAAAGGTTACAATTAAGTTACATTTAAGTTTAATGTTTGAAATTTTGTGGCTCTCATAAAATAGGAATTTGGACATTTGTTGCCCTTACAGGGGGTGATAAGGCTCAGCTGTTAAAGGTGCTAAGCTTGTCAGCTGGAAAACTGACAGCCCAGGTTCAAGACCAAAATGCTACTGTGATGGGGTGAGCTCCTGTTCCTGCCTCAGCTCCTGCCAACTTAGCAGTTCGAAAGCATGCAAATGTGAGTAGATTAATAGGTACCACTTCAGAAAGTAACATGTGTTTCATATGCCTCAGTATATAGTCATGCAGGCCACTTGACCATGAAAATGTTGGTGCTCTCAGCTAAGAAATGGAGATGAACACTGCCTTATAATCTTGGACATGACTGGACAGGCGAATCCTTTACCTTTTTGTCTCTTACATCTTCATGAACAATGTTGCTGAATCTAAGTTCATGAAGATTTGTGAAAGTTTTAAATGGCCACGTAGTCATCCACACTAAGGCAAAGGACTAATGATGCTATAGCCTATACTATATATAGCCTGTTATACTCCATAAGCTTTTGGTGGATCATGACTTGCTTTGTCAAAACACACAAAAACACCTTTCACGTAGTAATACATTTGTTAGCTTTTAAATTGCCAGAGGGTTTTAATCCGGCCATCAATCCCTCTGGAAAACTCGATAAATTAAGATAAATTAGCTTAACACACCCTCTGCAGAAAGTGATTTCTATGACCGCACCAACATACGTGCTGGTTTTGAATCATGTTTAATGCATTTATTTCAGAAGACTGCATGGAATAAAAAACATTACCACAAGGCTGGACACTTTTTGTCCGAGGTGATGAAATGTACTGGAGAGATTAGTATTCCTATGGAAACACCTTCAGACAAGTAATTGAGATTGCATTGCATCCAATTCAATGAAATGAAATAAATATTCCTTCTATCAGTTTCTATTTGCATTTCCACAAAAATACATTCACTGAAACATGGCATATAGAAGCAAGAAACCAATAAATGACAGTAGGGGGTGTTATTAAAGATGTCAGCTGCAAATTTGATGCCCCTCTGCAAATCATTATTCCACACCAATATACATACTTCCAATAAACTTTTCACTTTTTGTCAGATATAAAATTACTTTGTCCTCTTTACAAGTGCACCATTTTCAAAATAGTGGAGCTATTAGCACATGTGGATTAAGCAGTAAACTTCAGAACATAATTTACTTAACTGTATGTTACATTTGTGCTAAAACATTCCACCTACAAAAAATTGACAGAAGTAACCTGTCTATGGGAGGTGCTTCTGTACAGGAAGACTTTCAATTTAATGTACTATATACACCACTTTTTTAAAGGTTAGTTATAGGTCCTTTGTAAAACAAGAAACATTTCACATATTATACAAGATGGGAAATGGATTCTGTAATTCAGATGTTAAATAACATAAAATGAGTGAGCATGTGAATATCTATAGAAAAGCCTAACTCTTCATAATTAGAGTCTACATTACTGTCAGAATGGAACCATTACTTCCACTTTTATTAGACAACAGGACACCCGTGTTTTTGCCAGACATACTGCTACATAAGTGCATACTATAAATCAACACATTAAACCTCAATCCTTTTTTGGCGTTTAACTGTACATAAACTCTTTGTGCTTATTTTGAATGTGCAGCTTAATATGTGTTGCTTGATATTATAAAGAGAGAAAGAGAGAGAGAAAGAGTGAATGGGGAAAAGACATATTTTAAATACTTCAATAAAACACTGAAATTAAACCAAGTCCTAAAATTTGGGAGACTGAGCAGCTGAGGGGGTGAACTGTACCTTTTATTGAAACAGTGGTATCTCGTAGGAAGAAAATACTTTATATTTTTAATACTGAATCAATAACAATAGCAAATCTGATCTGTTGGTAACCGTGTGTAAAACACCCTTGACAAGACACTAATGAGGTGCTGCCCTTCATGCACTGTGAATTTTAGGAGTAACAATCTAAAAGATTAGTCTCTTTTCCTGGGGAAGCTCAAGCTCCATGGAATCAGCAGGACAACAGGACACCCGTGTTTTTGCCAGACATACTGCTACATAAGTGCATACTATAAATCAACACATTAAACCTCAATCCTTTTTTGGCATTTAACTGTACATGAACTCTTTGTGCTTATTTTGAATGTGCAGCTCATTTTGAATGTGCGGTCAAACTAGGACCCTGCTTAATTTGGCCCCTTTAAATGGGCAGCTGTCAAGTGACTTGAGAGGCCTAATCACTTAAACATGTAGCAAAAAGGATTAGACGTCTTATTCATTTCTATTGCAGCTTGCTGGATTTGGGGGAGCCTATGCCAAATGAGATTGCAGAGATCTAAGCAGTGCATGTATTTGCCTATTTGTACAGATTGGTTTCCCCTTGAATGATGATGAAAAAATAATATGAACAACAACAAAATTCAATCTTGCAAGTAGGGATTGGCCCCACTTGGCAGGATGTAGGTTGTTTTCAAATCCTGCAAAATGTATTCAGTCCAATAGCTGAGTTGCCTTCATTCAAACATTTCATAATGACGTGTTTGCCGTACACGGGGAACCATATCCATAAGCAGCCTGAAAATAAAAACAAACCCAGGTCAAGGGCAACAGTTACACATTGCAAAGATCCAGCCATAAATTCCTACATGTCTTAAAGCATTCTCCTAATTGGCACTTGTCTATCCCCAAAACAGGAAATTAATGAGAAGTCTTTGGTGCTCTCTGAGCTTGGTTTTTTTTATTTTTAATACTGAATCAATAACAATAGCAAATCTGATCTGCAGACATTGCGTTACCCAACTAGGCAACATCATCAGTGATGTTACATTAGTGACATTATCCATTATCCAACGTGGCAACATTATATCTCTGATGGTGTTATCTTGCTGGGTAATCATCTGCAAAGAAAACCACCCAGTTCAGAGATGATCCCACAAGTTCAACCCTAAGCTACAAATATTATTTTCTATTGTACATTACATTTCAATCAATATAGCCTTTTAGTAAGAATATAATAAAGTCACAGTAATTAAAAATATATATGCAGCATTGAACAAATGGCACATGAGATAGACACCTTATCACAATCATGGAGCAACATTCAAACGCAAATGTAAAATGATTTCTTTAAAAAAAACCAAAAGGTTTCACTCACTTGGCACCATAGGCAAATATTGTAAGTCCAATCAGAACTCCTATACTTCCATCCAGGTACCAAACAGAAGCATTGTGCTTAAAAACTTCCGCACTCAGGAGGATGGAAAAGCCCATAATTCCTCCTACCAGAGAGTTGAAACCTACAATGAAATAAATTAAGATTAGGCCCTCCTAGCAAGAACAAGGAATTCAAGAAATAGCCAACGTCAATGGGTGCAGGATTTGTACATTGTTATGCCTGAGTTCAGGCAGGACCCCTGTGCCTGCTAGCAGAATTACAACTCCCCAAAGTTTTCAAATGTAGCTTATGACTAACCAAAGCCCATTTCAGAGAGGGGTTTTTACACTGCAGAAACCTAATCCATCATATCGTGTCATAAATCTTAGTTGTCCCAATTCACAGACTGAGGTTCCCATTAACCCTTTAATTTTCCTCACCCTTTGGAACAGCTGCCTTAATACGGTCATCTATGCCAGGCCATGGAATTGGAAAACTTGGCTTTTTAAATAGCCAGTTGCATCCCAATGAAAGATAAAACCATTTATCCCATCAGTGCTGCTGCACTAGAGGTTGAGTTCTGGGTTTTTAAGGCAGGGCAGCGTCAAATTCCGTGGACCGCATTTGAATTAATACCAACCATCTGCTTTCTCGAAGCTGGAGCCGTAACTTCACTAATTCTGCAGTAGATCCAATCCTGCAGGGACAACATGACAGCTATGCAAATATGGCAGAGGAAGAAAATGAAGCTTGCTGCCAAGGAAAGTCTATTCAGTGCGTTCATGCTGGTTGTAGATGGGGGTTAGAGAACACACAGCCCCAACAGCAGAAAACCTTCACGGTGTGGCAAAAAGGAAAGGCTGCCAGGATTTGATATTTCATCAGTGTTTATAAAATAATTGATTGGACCCAGTATTGACAGAAAGGCTACTGACAAACCCAAAGGTTGTTCTTTTGTGACTTTTCATAATCAATTCCCTTTCTCCTATCTTCCAATAAACCTCATCCCATTTCTACAAGAGGCTCCCAATTCACCCCCACCCCACAATCAAATGTTAAATTAGTCAGTTCTCACTCACAGCAATTCAGGTTCAAACAACAGATACAAGGTTTAACCAGCAGGATAGAGGCCCAAAAGGCTGCAAATGGGCACACTGAATATACAACAGTGGGGGGAAGGGGGGAAGGAGAGAAAGAGAGAAAGACAAAAGGAGAAGGGGGGGGGAGTTTTAATTTGTGCTTTTGGATTCTCAAGAGACACCAGAGGGATTCTCCAATGGTGACAATTGCACCCAAGAGCTCCATCAAAGTTCACAAGGAATTCCATACTTCACCGAATCCTCCACTGGAGTTGTGAATGCTAGGCAGTGACTAACAACAATACAACCCTCAAAAAATAAAACAGCAAAGGGAAAATAATGGTCATACTTCAGCTCTGTTCTTCAGCTTCTGGCCATAAGATGTCAGCCTGATCACATCTTTCCCTCACATTCATAAACCCAGATTAGCCACAATCCAATATTAACATATTAACCACCCACCTCATTGCCTAAAACACACACACACACACACACACACACACATTCATTTGGCCCTCACTCTTGCCTTTTGGTTTAAGTCAAATGATTAGAATGAAAATCCTCTAAAATTAACAGCATTCCTTCTATTGACCACACCATCAGTGTTAACATATTCAGAGATGGTCTTCTGTAGCATAAGTCCAAATAGGTTGTTTATCTCATCAATATACCTCCCATATGTTAATTAGGTTTACTGAATAGCTTAGTGACATTTTTAATGGACTTTGCTGACTTCACAGACAACTGAAAATTACACTTCTGTTCTAGAAAGCCAGGGTTAAAAGCTTATTGGAACTAGTAGCATCTCCCAGATAGACGGAGTGGCATATCCATGGAGACTTGATGTTGCTACAGTAATCATTCTGAGACTGCCCCAACATCATCTCGAAATTATACATGTGCCATCTATTTACAAACAACACAAAACTTGAGGACATCACAGCAATCAAAGTGAAAGCCACTTTTCCAACATGCCTATGTAATCACTGGGAGCTGAATTTGATTTGAAGGAGACTTTAAATTAAGAATTTTGTATGCAGAGTGTTTTAATGGCTTGTGAGTGAGATCTTCATTTTCCAGAGATTCTATTCTATTCAATCTAATGATGCAAAACTAAAGAAATCTGGGCTTAGCTATATTTAACTAAAATAGGTTAAACACATAGACAGCAGACTAATTACACAGTTCACTCCTTAATTTTCTTAATGGGAAAAAATAGCAGCAGTGCAATTATCACAAGCATATAATTAAAGGAAGAAAAGGAACATTCTCAGCTATTTGTAAAAACCAGAAGTCTGTTTGTTCTAAGCTCAGAAAATAGGGAGATGCAACAGTATTAGTAAAGGGTCTAACATGAATGTCAAGAGGGTTTATTTCTATTTACTAAATTAGATTTTTCCATGTAGAACTGTGCTTAAAAACAACAGAATGTTTGTCACACTTCTATTCTTCTATATGTTGTAAGGCAACTCTTATTAACCAGATCTGTAGTTTTCGCCAATAGTCACATTAAATAAAAATTCACATCAAAAAAGGATTTTCTAATATTATATATTTTGTAGTAATGCCTATGGTTCTACAGCCTTGAAAGATCAGTTTAAATCAATAAATGAATGTTTGCAGCTGCCCGTGTCCAACATGGCATCCATTTCAGAAACAGACTTTTCAGACCATATCTACCGTACCACAGACTCTCTAAATTTCAACTCTTATCTCCAACTACCATCTACCACTCCTAAATTTTGTTAACTGAGGGATAATCAACTATTGCTGAAAGCTCCAGCAGGGTTAATGGTAATAAATCCATTAGTTATTGCAAGAACTTTATAGGATGAATCACTCTTTCAATCTGTTTCCTTCTCCATATCTGTCTATGATTATTTGTAATTATTTCACATTTCTGTACCACCAGGTCCCTCAAAGAGAAACTCTCTTGGAAAACCCCCCAGGGAGCTCTTTGTACATGAAATCAGAATGCTGATTATAAGCCTAAATAGCTTAAGGTTGAGATATTTGAAAAGCCAAGGTCCCTTAATCAACCTATCAACCTATCCATAGTTTATTTAAAAGCATCAGAGCCTCTGGCATTGTCTACCAAATGGAAAGTCCAGTTTGGAAAATATCCAGACAGGGGGGCATTTTTAATAGCAACACCATGATTCAAGAACAGTCTCAAGGTAAGACTGGCTCCTTCACTGGTCAGTTTTTAACATACAATAAAGACACAGATGGATTTTTAACTCTGATATGGCATCACTCTCTAAATTCTAATGCAAATTCTCAGGTGTTATTTGCTTTCTGATCAGCCTTAATTTATATTTCATTATACTTTGCCCCAGATGAGTGGTAGAGCAGGAATAAGATTTATACATTTAATTAAATAAGAAGACATGCACTTCTTGTATAATATGCTGGAAATCATCAGGGAGCCAGAATAATAGAAAAAGTATCAATTGAATAGATCTTTCTTCCCGAAAGGCATCAGAAAAGACTTGAATTCATGTCTCTGAAATCCTGCCCCAAATTCATTAGCAGCAAAAGCTTCACAGATTTGACAGGGTTAGACCAGACTTACTGCAGGACACCAGGATCAAATCCTCTTTAGATAACAAGCCTCAATGTTCTAATCATAGGGCTTTCTTCCTGTCCTTTCAAGTTTATGAACGGTTGGCCAGTTTTGCTTGGCCTTGCAAATAGGAGACATCTTCTCTAAGTTTACCTAAAGAAAAGTTCTAACTGAAGCGTCCTAACGTAAGGTCACCTTCCGTTATGGAGGAAGAGATTAGTTACAAATACTCCAAAATGTCCAGTTGAGCAATTGTCATATAGAGCTGCAAGAGTTTTCCTTCAAGGAAAGGAAGCTCCCTGGAGTAGCTTTGGATAGGCAACATATACATTTATTAATTGAATAAATAGTGAAAGGAGTAAGGAGCACAGACTTGGTCAATGCGTCACAGATTTTCTCATACCCAAGCGAAGGAGAAGGAAGAAAGGGAGATCTTGAAACTTTTGGACCAGGTAGGAAAGGAGTCTCCTTTCTAATTCCCAAGAGTGTCAGGGCAGATGCCAAATAAGGAGGAAGAGTTTTCTGGGTACAGGATAGTATGGGAGCATGGTTATCTGGCAGGAAGTATTCTGATTTGCATTTCTGTTAGAGAATTCAGTGAAGAAGCCCATAGTGTCAGAGGTGTTTTTTCAGGGTCTGTGGTCTAACAGCGAATAAATATTGATGCTCAACTTGGGTATGTCTGAGGAACTTCAAGCTTCACACTGCTATCTGCCCAAATATCTGTAAATATCTGAATCGCTATACATCAGGATTGGTAACCTAAAAATATAATTGATCCAACAGCCCTGTGAGATAATGGCTGTGCTAACTGAATTAAATTATTTTGAAATTTATTTCTAAAAAACTTGCTTGTGTGTTAAGATTTCTTATTGGATTACAGCTTGTTTCATATATTAAATTTCCAATGCCTTGGCTCTTGAAGATTTTTTTTCATTTTCATTTGAAGTAAGAGAAATACTGGATCCTTCATAAATATGATTACTCTTGACCATATCATTTGGGAATTCTCTTTATGCATTCAATTACAGTAGTAACTGGTTAAAGGCCACACATTGTAAAAATCAAAATCAAAAAAGCCTATAATATGGACTTGCTTTGTACATGCCAGAGAGACACAGTAAAGAGTGAAATTATCCCTGTTAACCTCAGACATAAGTCTCAAAGGGTGCTTCTCTCAGATGAATAAAAATAGGATTCTACCTTAATTTATCATGCAGAGAAAACACATCTTTTTATTTTTTACAAGAGATACATCAGTTGATGTTTCTTTCAAAACATTGCAGAGGAAAAAAAGATAATGTCACCAGAATTAAAATTCCCAGTGAGAACTATTAGTCATTGTTGCTGGGGAACACAATAAATGATGTTGGCAACGTGGAGAAAAGTTCATGATCTTTATAAACTCATAGATTCAATATTATCTTTGAAGGATTGTTCTATTGTAGCTGTTACTAATCTTATTTATTTATAAAAGTTATAAGCCACCCATCTTACTTAAACTTAATTCAGTTCCAAACCATAAATATAGTTATAATTTGCAGGTAAAGAACCCAGTTTTTAAATTTGTGCTAAGGGCTTTTTTATTCAAGTCCTATTTTAAAAGCATTTTAATTTTAAAAGTGAAGATTAGTTTACGTACTGGCTAAGGAAAAGTGTGTGTGTAAGTGTATTGTATCAGCTGAAATAGTAAAACACAGATTTCTGACAACTCCATCACTGCACACATTAACGCAATTTAGGAGTAAAACCATCTACAATTCCTGAAGTCTGAAAAACAAGAAGAAGCAAAAGACAAACAGCAATTCCAGGCAAAATGCAGGTAGACAATTATGATTGAATCTAATAAAATGTAGATGCTTAGGGTTTTGTTTTGTTTTTAAAATGTCTACATTCTGGCCAAATGTTGAGTGTGGAAAGTCATCTAGATTCCTACAATAAATTTTGGTAGATTGTTTTTATTTGACTCTAAACATTTTATCTGACTATTTGGCTTCAAAGTTTATTTTTCCCTGTTATTTTATTTATTTAGACAAACTAATTTCAGAGCAACAAGCAACAGGATCAGGTAGTCCTTGGACTACTTCTGTGCATAATGTTTGCTTCTAAATTCATTAATTTTTTGAACAGGTCAGAGAACAAAGGGCTCAGTGAACTCAAAAAAGTTTACCAAATCTGTTATACATACATTAACCGAATCTCCTCTCTGTAATTTCATCCAATCACACACTTACCTCTACTTCACTAGCCTTTGATTTAATAATATCAAGAAAGAGATACCTGTTTGCTACTTACCATCTGTTAACAATGCTCTACTTGTAAGCACGTTCCCCAACATAAATTTGACCACTGCTAAAGTAGTACAAAGGATTCCACTTAAAATTGAAACGCTGTATAGAAAGTCATCCTGAAAAAGAAAAGGGAAACATTCTATGCCATTTTGAAAGATAATTCAAATAATAAACTTCAAGATGTAATAATTCTTGAATCAAAGTTCACTAATATTGACTGATTGGTTTTATAACATAAACTGCCCCATTCTGGCAGACCTAGGTAGGATACAAATACAAAATAAAAATGGAAAACAATTACCAACAAAAACCCTAGGTGTCCTTCAAATACTTTGCCTAATTTAAAGCTCAAATGTATGCTAGAAAAAAACAACCCTGTTTTCTTTACAAAACCTCAGCAGAGTCAGTGCTGTTGACCCCCAGACTCACACTTAAATAGGCAACTTTACAAACTGAATGAATGAATCTTTATCTCCAGAAGGGGCTTATTCCATTAAATGGGGATCACTGGATCAGGCCTTCTCTTGATAGTTGGACCAGATAAGCAATACTAGATAATTCTGACATTGCTCTATAAATCATGGTACTGGGCCGCATGGGGTTTTGATTGAAAGTAATAACATCCCAGCATTGGGGCCAAAATTACGTCCTTTCCAAAGAAGCATCGAAAATGGTTATAGTGGGCACGATAGGTAGCGATAATTCTCACTGCAAAATTGTTGCTCTAAAGATTGATGTTTGAAAATGGGTAAATTTATCCTTCTGAAAAGGGCAATATTTCCAACTAATCAAATTATGAAGTAATATGTTCTTCTTTGGCACAGATGTTATGATATTTTACAATGATACAGAAGTATTATTAAATGACTTTTTCTAAAAAAAAATTTGTTTTTAATAATAAAGCATTGCAAGAATTTTTGTAAAGCAGCGGCATTTAAGGCATATCTTAGATATTTAGTATTGTAACTGATTACATTTTGTTAAGTCTTTAAAGGCTTTTTTCCTGCTTCATTTCTTTTAATTTTAAATTTTTGGGGGGTGGGGGGTAACATTTCTTTCTTATTTAGCACTGTGATATTTTTTCCTACCATATATATTTGCATTTTATTTATTCTAAAAAAGAATAAAGATTAAAAATATAAAACAAAAATAACTTTTAAGATAAACAACTGGCATTAAATAGGAGAACGCTATAATTTTTGTCTGAAAGGAAACACCCAACCTCCCTGGAAAGCGAGATGCCTCAATTTTTTACTACCTTCCTAGATGGTGCCACACACCTCTAAGCTACAGTAGCTTGATAAAGGCTTGACCTCAGGCATGGGAGGAGGAGAGAGAGGGTCTTTCAGATGAATATTTCAATAGAATACATCTGTGTGTCTCTGGAGGAAACAAGAAAATTGATCTCTGTCTTCCTCCCCACCCCACCCCACCCTACAGAAATAATTCATATTCAGAGCCAGCAGTTGCAGCAAAACAGATCTGAGATCTTGGAAGCTGTAGAGAGAAGCAGATCCAAGCCTCAAAAACTGGGGAAAAAGAATTGGTTCCTATCACTCTTTTTGTCAGCCAGAAAACCAGATGTCAGGACTTTAGCCACTTTGGAACAGAAGGCTGCTGAGAATGGGGAGAGAAGCGTTTTGTGCCAAATCTCACACACCCAACAGCTGTCTAAATTTATGCTTTCCTACCAATTCCATCCAAAACAAAGGTACTCTGATTTTTTTCTGTCAATTGCATTTAAAAATACTGCTACACAACCCCTTCGTGTTGGTGATCAAAATATTATTACCACTTTGCAGCTTCATGAAGTGCAAACCAAGGTTTGAACAAAGAAGAGGAAGAAAAGAGAACCCAAAAAGAAAGAGAATTCAGGTTTCTGGCACAAAGGCTGTCAAACAAACAAACACACACACACACACCAGAATGTGTTCAATGAACTATTATTAACACTTCTGCATCAGAGCTGCTCACTGCCAACACCTGCTTGCTTTTCCTCACTCTCTGCAAATATCTCACAGGTATTTCACACACACCAAAATTAAACCAGTCCTCTTTCTATTCCACTTTGGGAAATGAACAGACTGCGACTGAATAGGAGTAAGGTCATAAAGTTCTGCAGAGTTTCAAGGCACCTCTCATCCAAAGAATTGATAACAGCCAAAGGGTCCAATGCAGAGATATGAATATAATGACAACAGGATCGGTCCACAATCTCTGGAAACAGTACAATAGCCCTAGGAGTGAATTATTACTTTTTGAAATTAATTCGCCTTCCAAAAATGATGAGACATACTTTAATACAGTGGTAAATGAATAAAATAATCCTAGCCATCTGCTGCCATATCCCTCAGGACCTTTCCTCTCTGGTGCCACACATCTTCTTGATATTGCTTCTGAAAATCATTAAACAGGGCAACAAATCCATCGGCTCGTATTGTTCATTGCTTCACTAGACTATTTTAATTAGAACAGCAGTGCTGAATTACAACCAGAAGATTAACATTTAAACAGTACCATAATGAGAAAAATCATTTTTATTTAATATGAATTTACTAAAATTTTATATTTAAATAATATATAAATTTTATATATGTGCATGTGTCTATTATGTATATTTCTTTAAATACTTGCATGCAAATATGCCTCTATTAGCCCTATTGTTTATTTGCATCGATGCATTGGCTTGGAATATCATGCAGCATCGAATCAATATAAAAATAGTCCTTAACTTAGGATTTTTTGTTTAATGACAATTTGAAGTTACAATGGTCTTGCAAAAAGTGAAATTACAATCATCGTACCACCCTCTACAAACAAGGGCCAAAGTGCTGGCGCTGCGATTGTTGCAGCATCTTGTAGTCATGTGATCACTATTTCCCAGTTAGCTTCCAACAAGCAAAGTCAATTATGGAAGCCAAATTTGCTTAGCAACTATTTAATAACCACAAGGGAGGGAAGACATGAATTCTGTGGCTAAAAAACACAAAGTTTCTGGAGCATCTGAAGATTTAGATTTAAAGCTTTACAAAAGGATTGCCTTGGAAGTTAGGTAAGCCTAATATTTATTGACTGATGTATGCATTTATTTCTATCCCACCTTTATTACATATGATCCTTGAGATACATGAGATTGCTTAAAGAACATTCAAAGTTACAATAGATGCCAAAATTGATGTATCACCCTGTTTCAAAATTACAATGGCTGCAGCACCTGTGGTCATTCACCCTCCTGATCTCAGGATTGCTGCAGCGCTGTCGCCCCCTCCCCGCTTCTCTCCCCCCACATCCCACCCCTCAGAACCCACACATCCATCACCCACCGCACTTACCTTTTGAAGCTCTCCAGACCTCACACTGGGGAAGGAGGGCAGGCCACTTTATTTTGCTACCTTAACAAGGTCTGGATAGCACTGCAGAAACTTCTGAATGCTGCAGAAATCTTCTGCAGCACTGTGCAAATCACGCTAAAGCAGCAAAATGGGTTGCTTTATTACCGGCTGCATGGCACAATTTGGCAAGCAGTGCAGGGGTGGGATTCAAATTTTTTAACAACCAGTTCTGTGGGTGTGGCTTAGTTGGTGGGCGTGGCCAACTCAATATCATTCACATCGAAGCACACATCTCCTTGCCTGGCCTCTCATGACTGTGGGGATGCTGCAACAGTCGTAAGTGTGAAAAATAGTCATAAGTCACTTTTCTCAGTGCCATTGTAACTTTGAATGGTCACTCCACACAAGCAAAGTACCAGCAAAGAGAGACAGTTTCTGTAAGCAACACCAGAATGTTTCCTTCCTGCCTTCCTTACAGGATTAGGCCAGTAATTTCTTCTAACAACCGGTTCTCTGAACTGTTTAGAATATTAACAACCGGTTCTAGCGAATAGGTGTGAACTGGTAGAATCCTACCCCTGAAGTGGTGGCTATACCAAAATGAAATTCAGCTGCTGAAAACATGACGGCTGCTTCCAGAATCATGCCATGAAACTATGCATTCCTGCCTTCTGGAAAGCCTTGGAGCTCTTCAAAAAGAGTTTGGCCCGGGTGGGGTGGGAATCAGGCCCAAAGCCTGCAAGGACTCACTGGGAGTGAGAAAAGGCCTCTTGGGACTCAAGGCATGGGAAGTGGAACATGGAGAAAACTCGGAGATGGGGAGGCCTTGGGAATGCTAGGGCAGGTGGGCATGGGCCTGTACTAGGCCTCCAAGGGTTTCCCCCACCCCTAAGGTAATTCTGTTCCTCTTACTGGGATGGGAAGTTAGCCGAGTCATAGCTGCCTGAGCTAATAGTTACATAATGCCTATTGCTACATGCAACTGTAATGGGCAGGCTCCATTACAATCATATTTTGAGGACTACTTGCACTTTATAAATAAATCAAGGCAAACAATGTAACCTCCTCCTATTTTCCTCACAATAACTACCCTGTGAGGAAGATTGGGTTGAGTGACTGGCCCAGGTGAAGTCACCCAGCCAACTTTCTTGCCTAAGGTGGGACTAAAACTCACAATTTTCCTGTTTTCTAGTCTGGCACCTTAACCATTTAAAGTAAATTGGCTTTCCCATTGATTTCTACGAGACAGAAGTGATGAAAGATTTGTTTTTGTCTCAAATATGTAAATATTTCTATTATATTTAATTTTTCTTTTCATTGTAAATCTCAAAAAAGGCTGCATTTGTTTCTAACAATGGTTAGACAGCACTCATGGATATTCCATGGTTTGCTAGACTTGCTAAACCAAGTGATCCCAAAAGGAGCAAAAATGGAAAGGAGAAAAAAATGTCTTTTAAGCAGATTTTACATTCTATTTTTTCATAAACTCTCACAGAGGCTGGTTGCAAGGAAGACTCCATATGGTAGGGATGTACAATTTTGGCTTTCAGCACAAGTCGGCTAAATATGCAACTGGGATAAATAGAAAGATGTAAGTGGAGCCAAGGCAAAAATTAAAGTTGGTTTAATTGATAACAGAATTAAAATATAAAAAAGCAATGTTCATTTATGTGCTGTGCAATAAATATTTTGTTTTTCGTCAAGGCTTTCATCAGGGTACAGAAGCAGAATAAAATTATTTTAATTTTTTTACTACATTATTATTATTAAAACAATCTTCTATT